GTCCGGCCCGCGGAGAGCTAGCATACTTGAAAACTCCTTTTAGAGAACATATTTTTTATAGCAAATTAAATTTAGTTTACTGAAGTGTTCTAATTTTATGTTGAATAATTATTAATATGACATCTACATTGATATGGTCATGGGCTAACTACTCATAACATTGTTGTAGGCTTATTGTTATTGTTTTTGTGATAAGTTGGATAAAGAAACACAGAATTGTAATGAGTAAAGAGATGTATAATATGCAGAAAATTTAACTTCAGTATATAATAACTAACAAATTATTGAAATGAATCCAACTAACATTTTATGCATTTTAAATAAAAACATAACTTATAACAAGCATAATGACATATGAAATACTAATGAGATTTATGTAATTGAGATTTCCCACTGACAATAGTTTGTAGTTGTGGACTAATTTTACTTGTACCAATTATTAAAAGAGATTTAAGATGCTCATCAGTTAATTTAGATCTGTAAACATTTTTTGTGTACTTCATTTTGGAGAAGGTCTTCTCACACAAATAAGTAGTACCAAAAACAGAAAATAGCCCACGTGCAAATTTATGCAAATTATCAAATTGTGTAAGTGGAAGACTCTTATAAAATTCCAACAAAGATGAGTTTTGATATTTGTTCTTAATTATATCACTGCACTGTAGATCAATCATCTCCATTTGAAGTTCCGGGGTTATAGCTTCAATGTCAGTATCAAAAGGATTCTGAAAAATCTTAATTTGATTCGCAATGGCATCAAAGTCCGAGAAACGAGTATCAAAATTTATTTTCAAAGCACTCGATGTTTCGATTGCAAAATCGATAGGAAACTCAGTCTCAGTGGTGTGGCTGAATATTTCACATGTTTTAAAATGTGAAAAACATTTACTTCGTAGTTGTGATTGAAACAGTATCAATTTCTTCCTCGAATGATTTGATATTAGTGTATAAATCAGGAAGATGCTGGTTTTCTCCTTGCAATTTCAAATTCAGTTCGTTTACATTTTTTGTCAAATCAACATAGAATGCTAACTTCCACAGTCATGCGTTGTTTTCTAATTCAGTAAGAGGGCGATGCTTTTCATTCAAAAAAATTTCGATCACTGCTCGAAGTTCAAAAAAGCGCTGAAGGACTTTCCCACAACTAAGCCAACGTACGGCAGTATGATAAGGTAAGTCATATTCTCCTATCTCTGCAATAAATTGTCGGAATTGTCGGTGATTCAGCCCAAAAGATCTGATAAAATTAACAGTTGATATGACTGGTTTCAGAACTTCAGACATATCCAAACATTTTCCGCACAAAGACTGTTGATGAATGATACAATGTAAGACTAATGGTTTTGAACCACCGTCATTTTCTACAGCCTTTGACACAAGAGAGACCACTCCTTTATCTTTCCCACTCATGTTTTTGCCTCCATCAGTTGTAATACATTTCAAGTTTTTCCATCGAAGGTTCTTTTGATTAATGGCCATTTCAACTCCTTTAAAAATATCTGTACCAGTAGTTGTACCATGAATACTATACATATCAAGAAGTTCTTCATGCACTTCATAGCTTTTATCTACTCCTCGAATATAAATCAACACCTGAGCAGTATCTGACACATCCGTTGACTCATCCAAGGCCAAAGAAAACCACTCAACATGTCTATTTTTGTCGAACAATTGAGAGGATATATTTTCAGCGATGTTTTCTGCCCTTCGAGCCACAGTGTTTGCTGACATACTGACAGTTTTTAATAAATTTACCTTTTCAGGGCACATTTCTTCGGCTACTGCAATTATGCATTCTTTGATCATTTCTCCATCTGTGAATGGTTTTCCACGTTTTGCAATTTCAAGAGCCCCACGAAAGCTGGCACGAGTTGCAGCCTCTTGTTCAGTTTTTAGTTTTGTAAATGAAGATTGTTGCGATTTCAATCCGCGCTTCATAGCTTCGAATTTTTCTGTCCGCAAACTTCCTGTATATTTTGAGTAATTTTGAAAATGTTTTGTTTCATAATGACGTTGAATGTTACATTCTTTGAGAACGGCTATGCTTTCATTGCAAATCAAACATAGCGCCTTGTTACTGGACTCAATTACGAAATACTGAATGTTCCACTGATCTTTGAATTTTCTGCATTCAATATCAATTTTTCGCTTCTTTTCCATACTACTAAATCACACACAAAAGCAACAATTCAAATCAAAATACTGTTACAAAGATGTCTTAAACTTAAACACGTACAAACACGTTTTAAGGAGGTACGCACTATTTTATTTCACAACAGTGTCATAGGAACTGACTTGTGGTTGCGCCACTAGCCTTCTTATATATTCCAATTACTGCCATCTAGAAGTGAGTGGAAGACACCAGAACTTTCTCGAACCAACGAGATTATTCTGTACGTGCTATTAGCGCCATCTGTTAGCGATAGAAGGTACTACCTATTTCCGCTTGTGTCCACCAGATGTCGTGTCACGTTACTCCTCATGGCTCGTACTCTACCACTAATCTAGAAATTACAGATAATGACAGGAAAATTAATAATATGCAGTGTTGCCATTTTGCGGACTTTAGTCCGATTTAAACGTTGCGTACTTTATCGGACTTTTTTTTTCATCAGTGGACTATTTCACTTTTTACCACCGGCAACAATGATAATATGATTTTGGCCCTCGGAACTTACTGGAGTAATCAGTATGGCCCTAAGGCTGGAAAGTTTGGAGACCCCTGGTCTAGATAACCAATAGTTTCGGTAGTGGCTCAAATGTTAATTTCCCCTTTTGGGGTATTAATAAATTAAAATAGGTATGTCGAAAATTGCAAAGCTTAAAGATAAATTCGCACAAATTAGCTCTTTTTAAAAACTTTTTTTTATATTTTTTTATATTTAATCCGATAATGGACAAAAATATTTTGAATTATAAGGCATTCAAATTTTTGCTTCATTTTGTATGTAATTTTAAGAAATCAATTTAAAATATGATCTGCATTAATTAATTTGAATATTTTAGGCCAATCTGGGGAAACACTAAAGTTGCAAGTTGGTACGTAAAAATTTGATTATTATGTTAAAAGTTATTCACACGGGATTTTATATTACGCACTGTGCAAACACTAAAAATAAACTTTTATATATCTTTTAACTACTTTTAATGCATACTTTTTTTATGTTTGGGAACTGTATAATTGTTTTTTTTTTCGAGGAGATTAAAATCTCAACTACCCAAAAAATTCATTATTCAGAAAAAATTATAGTCACATTGCTTAATCACATTTTTTCATTATTTTTAATTTAATGAAGTATTTTTTCTTTCTCCCGGATACGAGTGATTTCATAAAAAAGAAATATTTAGTTTGAGTTAATTTTGCTAAGGGAAATTTTCCTAAGAAAGCCTTCTTTAAGTAAGAGAAAAAATTAACAGTTTTTGCATTGATTTTTGTTAAGTTTGTGTGGTCTTGACATTCTTCTGTTTTTGGAAGATAAATTCAAACGAAACTTATAAAATTATAAGGTAAGTTTTTATGTGATATATGCTTTTAATATAAAAATTTAAACTTTTAAACTGCTTTTAACATTCTCATTGAAATGGAAAACATTCGTTTCAGGATGCAACAAAAATGAAATATTGTCTTTTGTCTATTTAGAAAATATACGCCCCATTTTTTTAAGAAATTAAACCAAACTTCTTTAAATTTTCGACATTTTTTGTATTCAGGAAAGCAAATATATATTATATATATATNCCTGAAACGAGAGAGTGCCATATTTAGTAAAAATACGTTTTTTGTGTATTTACACACACAAAAAAAACGTATTTTTACTAAATATGGCACTCTCTCGTTTCAGGACGTTGTAAAAAATATTTAGACATTAATATACAGATTTTTTTTAAAACTCGTGCATTCAATCAGACAAAATAAATACGCAGAACTGCACAAATGAATCAACTTTGAATAAACTTTTTTTTATTAATAAAATTGAATTTTTTGAATAAAATTGAATAAAATTGAATTAAAAGTTTAAATTTTCTTTCTGAATTTAATTTGATTAAACTTTGGTTTTACGATCTAATGAAAAAACGCTAATGTAAAAAAAATTATTTAAAAACATATTTAATAAATTATTTATACGCTCCATCTTTGTTAAATTTTATGACGATTATTTTTCTGCTGCTTTAAATGTCAAAAATCGGATGTCAAAAAATGTATTTACGCAATTAATTATTTTCCTGATTTACAGTTTTTATTCCCGTTGCTTCCATAGTAATAATAAAAATAAAAGAACAATTAAATGCCAATAATACAGTCATTGAGAAAACAAGTAAAGAATAATAAGGGATGAATAAGTTTTGATACGCTGTAAATTGACAATCTGAAATTTAAATTTGCAAAAAATAAAATCACCAGTTCATTAAAACTAACAGAAATAATAGAAACATCACGTTCGTATAGTTTAAAATTTATCCTCCCACAGACTTGCATTCATATTCAAAAATCTCACTCATTTAAAAAGTGAACGGAATTAACGAAGCACAAGATGTATGTCCAAATCAAAGGTTGGGTAGAAACTTTCTCACTTTTGCCAACAGAATATTTAAAATATTAGATCACAGCTTCTAATTCTAACATTCAAAATTTTACATTTTGTATTCCAAACGTTGTTCATTATGCGTGTGATTTATTTCTATCACTTTGATTTATGCTTTAAATTAAATTCTTCACTGCAAGTAGTGAATAAATAGCTGTGCTCTTTCCCATTAAAGATTAATTTGATTTTATTTGGCTTCAAAAATATTTTAGTTAGGTCAAGGAGTTTCGCTAAGTTAATCTAAAAATTTTAAAGTTTCACAATGATATCATGTAATTGTGTAGGGAATTTTCTATTTGCAACGCAAGAAAATGTGCCCTCATGTTCAATTAAGTATGTTGATTAAGATCAATTAAGTTCAACTAAGTATGTTAATTAAATTCAATTAAGTTCAATTAAGTATGTTAAATATGTTAACGAAGTTCATGTTCAATGCAGTTTTGGTTACTTTACTAATTTTAATTATTTCCTAAGTTAAGTTTATTTCGCTAATTTAGCAATTTCCAAAATTTTATGTCAGCATATATATATTGTCAACACGTATAAAAGTTAAAAATTGTGGCATGAAACTGTAATGTTTTTGATATAAGTATAACATAAAATGTTTAATTAGATAGCTTCATACAACACAAATGATCCAATAATTGCAAAAGTTATAATAATATTTACGAAACATAGATAAGCAATCTACAAAAATATTTAAAGAAATTACAGTAAAATTTTTATGTCTCCTCCTGATTTATCTCAGAATTTTTGTTTATAAAAAAGAAACATTTTAAGTCATTTCATGCATTCTAATCCGAAATAAAGATGCAAAATCTTCAAATGTGATATTCTCACATATTTTATTTTGTTTTATCCCCTTCCTAAAATTACCAACTTTTTTTGGGTGTACAGCAATCGGTTTTAAACCCAGTAGCTTTATAATTTTAAACCAAACCAATTAGAGAGAAAATATCTTAAACAATCATTTAGACACTCTCTCCATCACGGAGGACTTCTTGATGGAGCTAATCTACATCATAGTTGCCTAGAGGGGTACAAATAAAAGCTTCCCTTGGTTAACACAACCGGCAAAAGTTTTCTGATTTCTTATCTGTCTACCACTGAGATATTTTACGTGAACACTGAGGTACAATATGGGAGTTGTATACAAATCGACCAGCAATCACATGGATTCGAACCTGGGTCAACTCAATGGAATGCAAGCACTCTATCCTCTGAGGCTTTCCAGACTGATATGCTTAAAACCCTCTAATATTTGTAGACACATTTTAAAGCAGTCCTTTGTATTATCTATTGGTTAGTTTTTATCGAATGAGAAAATTCGTAAAACCACCTTCTACTTTTCTTAAATAGATGGAAGATGGACTTTGCTTAGTATCAATTTATCAAGATTTTGGATTTTAATATAGTTTCATACCACAAAAAATAATGATAAGCAGAATTTAAAAATCATTTCCTGAATGTTACTTTTATATTATTGAAATTCCAAAGAAATTTAAATAACTTTTGAAGGAAATTGAATGATAATTGGTCAATTAGGAAAAGCGTATTAAGTAAACATGATTATCAAAATATACGAACCGTTAATGAATTGATTTTCTTAGAAAACTAGTATATGTTCACTACATACTTTAGTGCATATGGGATAAAAGAAAGTTCAGAAAATAAAGTTTAGCAATAAAGTGATTCAAAGCATTTACTCCAAATGTAAACCCTCTTTGGTATTTTGACCGCATGGTAAGAAATTGGGAACCCTTGGCATTAAAGAAGAGAATCTATTACACAAATTGCTCTCTCAGGTCATTCTCTAATCAACGAGGCAGAAACAACTTCTGCTTTTATCAAACATTGATCGAATTGTAACTTCTATAAGATTCGATAAGAGAGTGTATTTTATGCAACTTATACATTAAAAGTCTGCACTAACTACAAATGGTTTAATACTTTTCTTTGTTTTTCTGTAACTGAATAAAGAACTATAATATATAAATTCGTAAATTTTTGTTCAGAGAGAATCATATTATTATAGACACAGTGACTTCTATAACATTCGATAAGAGAGTGTATTTTATGCAACTTATACATTACAGGTCTGTACCAACTACAAATGGTTTAATACTTTTCCTTGTTTTTCTGTAACTGAATAAAGAACTATAAAATATAAATTCGTAAATTTTTGTTCAGAGAGAATCATAATATTATAGACATAACTTAATCACTTCCTACTTTTTTTCCAAAGTATTATTCAGAGTAAATAACTAACGACGTAGTAATATAATCGAGGAAACATTGATTTTGGAGTCGAGACCAATCATCTCTGATTTATTAAACATATTTTTGGCTATCATGCAGATTTTTTTAATTGGAAACAAAAGTAAAAGGATAAATACAATTAAATTGTAGACATTAAATATGTATAAAATGGATGGAAAGATTTAAAGAAATGTGATTCATTTACTCTTCTAGTTAATATTTAATTGACATTTTTTTTAAAAAAATGATTCTTTAAGGTTTCATTTAATTCATCAATACATCATTAAATTAAGCTAATAGACTTATATTAAAACTTAA